TATATATATATATATATATATATATATATATATATATGAGTTCATTCAAGGAAGAACTGAATTGTTTGTGGTAACCGTGAGATCCAATCTCAACCACACAAATTAATAATCAATGGTTGAAAATAAAAGAAAAATTAATACTGAAATTCCAAAAATAACTCTCCAATATTTAATGTGAGTATGTAAATAAGGGCAAAAGGGTCAAAAAATCTTTTAATTTAATGAGACTATTTTGAGCGCCCTAGAAATCATTTTATTTTCTAAAATTACATTTCATCAAATCAAAACAAAAAACACAAAAGATCATATTGGTTGTGCGAGAAGAGGTGGAAAACAATATGTAGGCTTTGGTTGAACATGTTGTGTTACATTATGATAAAAAAGATTGTGGTTTCATGTGCTACGCAAACCACTAAACCCATTGTCAGAATTCTTTGGTAGCAAACCATACAAGGCAACCTCCAAACCACTAAACCCATGGTGAGAATTCTTTGTTAGTCTACAACCAATGACTCATAAGTCATAAGGGGGGCTACAAATTCCAATAGTTACTGATGTGGAACAAGGTGTTACAATACCAATAATATATTAGGTAAACAAGATGTTGTGTTACATTGTGATAAAAAAAATTGTGGTTTCATGTGCTACCCAAAAGATTGTGGTTTCATGTGGTAATTTAGGAATGTAAAATCAAAATTAATTGGAAGTTTGAAACGTATGGAATTAATAAATAAATATTTAATCTAAATTTAGCATATTACTAACATGCATTTTTACATTAATTTAAAAATAATAATTAATATATTAAAATGATTGGTTGAGAGTGGATCTCACGGTTACCACAAACAAAATAGTTCTCATTTGATTAAGCGCATATATATATATATATATATATATATATATATATATATATAAGGTTGAGTTCACATAAGACCAAAGGTTTTTCGTGAGATTCGTAAGACCAATTTATGTTCATTGATCAACTTTATAAGCTAATGATCTAATAGTTTAAAGTTGTACGGTGACAATTTTGTGATTGTTGAAAAGTCTCGTGACAATTTTCTGATTATGAATATCCATATTATAGATCTAATCAAAGGTTGAGAATTGGTCTTACCGGTCTCACAAAAAACCATTGATCTCACATGATCTCAAGTCTCTCTCTATATACATATATATATATATATATATATATATATATACACACACACATACATCTCTCTCTCTCTCTATATATATACATACATCTCTCTCTATCTCTCTATCTCTCTCTCTCTCTCTCTCTCTCTCTCTATATATATATATATATATATATATAAACTAAGCTGCAGGCAGCGATGTAAATCTATTGTGAGAGAATTGAAGTGGTCAAAAGAATTGGATTTAAATGTCAAAATTAAGCCTTCTCCTTCAACCCCATTTCACATAAACCATGTTAGCCAACAAGTTTGGTTCCTTCAAAAAGCTAGCCAAAAGGGTCAAAGTCAAGCGCACCTTGGTTCGCAACGAGCCATCGCACCATGACCACCTGTTAAAGACCACCTACGAAGAACAAGAAGAAGAAGACGACGACGGGTGCACCGGCCGATCATTGACCCCAACCGGATTCTTTGCCATTTATGTAGGTGATGAGCTACGAAGGTTTGTGGTTCCCACTGGATACCTCTCTCATCCACTCTTTAAGATGTTGTTAGAGAAAGCTTATGACGACGAAGAGCGGAATAACCGGTTGGTGGTTCCGTGTAGCGTGGCAGCTTTCCGACAGGTGGTTAACACGGTTGAACGTTGCAATGGCATGTTTGATCTTCGACATTTGGTTGAAGAGCTTATTTGAGGATTTTATTTTCATAAACGTTAGATTATTGTTAGTGGTAATTAGGTATTTAGCCGAGAATATTTGGAACCTCGTTAGTTTAATCTCCAAAAAAGTCGAATGTTCCAACATATATCGAAGAGAAAGGGTTAATGTCTAGCTGATACAACATGAACAATTCATGTTCTCGTGCGTTAGGTCCATTTTGTGAGTCGTATTGTCGTAAAGATCTGTAAGAAGTTAATGATTTATATGAGTTCCACGATGTTTGTTACACATGTTACAGACCAACTGCATTTGTTGCATAATGTGAACCTTGTCATCGAACACGGGTTTCTCTTTTTTGTTGGTTTTATCGAATTATGAAAACCATTCAAGACGAAAAAATAGCGTATCTTTCGACTGAAAAGATAATACATACCAACTACGAGATTCGAACTCTAGATGTATAAAGTACAAATATGAAAGCTTTCATGTATTAAGTTTCATGGTTCTTTTGTTCAGTAAAAAAAGTCATTCTCATATTTGAAACAACTTATGCTTTTCTATAAAAGTTCTTATCAACTTATTATAAATTAAAATGCTTTAACTTTTTAAAAAACTTCTTATTACCGATTTAGCACTGGTATAAGTTGTTTATCCAAACACTCTAAAGTGATTATTACCGATGACACACCAGAATAAGTCAATAAGTTGTTTTTATAAGCAATCTCAAATACCCTCTAAAATTTGGAGCGTCTTACTGTACCAGGCTCATGGCCATCACATGCAATTATTGGCTCAAGCCGGTAAATTGCATGTTATGAACGTGACAGTCAGTGGATATTGCCTAAAATAGAACACGAAACCGTTATATTTTCTGAAAACATCAAATCCGTTTTTATTTTAAAGAATGCCCACCTTTTTTTATAAGAAAGTTAGGTTTGTTTTGTTTTGATGTGTTGACGTTGTTGTTGTATGCATAATTATCTATATCAAAATCAGATCAAATACTTAATCATCAGATCAAATACTTAATCATAAATTAAAAAAGAAGGTTTATATTGTTGATAGAATATATATATATATATATATATATATATATGGTATATTTCTTTTACAACCTTGTGTATTTGTACAACCCTTGCAACCCAATTAATTGAGATATTTATAGAAATGATGGGAGTT